CACTTTCTCATTTTGTTGCACTTCTCACTTGGTCAAAGGCAAAACATACTTGCTGAACATTTTCTTCTCGATAGACACGACTATTTACTGATGCTCCCTGAACGCCCCACATAGCAAGACTGTGGTACCTGCTGCATGGTGGCTGTGGTGGGCTCTGACGGGTGTGTGACCAAAAATGACTTTAAAAATAATAAACCAGGGCGTTCTCATGTCACATTTGTCCGAGGTTAAACCCAGTTACATGTATTCTGCAAGCAGTCTTTCCTACGAGCAGACTTTTCTCCACTGACTGCGTGGCTGATGCATTAAGTCGTTACAACAGATATGTATTTAAAGCGCAGTCATAAGAACGTCAAAGGACAGTTTTGATATCCAACCCCAGAAGAGAAAAGCAAATAAAGACAAAATCAATTGGCTTACAGCAAAAGTGGACGGATCCAGGACGCATCGAGCTACGCCCCATGAGAAAGTCTGCAGCTGCCAATCAGAGCCCGGGCCGAGGTCACATGATCACGAAAAGTTTTTTGAGCTACATACACACTCATGTGGCTGCGCCCCACATCCAGGAAGTGTAAAATTAGTAAACACGCAGTAAAGACTAATATTAAATCTGTTAATAATACAAATATTGTTCATGCAGCAAAACAATATGAACGTTATTATTAATTTTATTATTGTGTTCTTATAATTAATTCAAATTTAAAATTTCATTTGAGAACTACTTTTTATCTGGTCATTAGGAGGGGGGGGCTGCGCCCTGTATTAACCAGCCGCCACTGTATATAATGATAATATAACTAAGTAGGGGTCCTCGGACTCTAATGAATCCATACATATAGCCCAATTTTTAGTATGACTAAAAAGATTTTACTTCTTAAAAATCATTGATGTGGCATCACATTCCACCGTTGGGCCGCACCTTCGCATAGTCCTTTACCACCTGGGAGATCCTGACCACTTTAATTTCTGGTTTTATTGCATCATAGTCTGACCACAGGTATTCTGAAGACAGCACCTTAGTCGGTTTGTTGTACAACAAGTACCTGCAAGACAGAGAGATGGGCAGATATGGGATATGATTTGCTGGAAACATAGTGTCAACATGTATGTGAATATGTACGTTCAAAACAGGAACAATCCCAAAAACTACAAAAGTGAGGAAGTGAACTGCAACACTGTACTTGTTGAGGTGACTTTCCTCCTGCCACACTGCTTCAATGTTGTTCTTGGCGTCTTCCTCCGACTGCTCATAACAGTATCTGACAAGAAAAGACGTGCAGTAGAACTCTGAGACAAGAAGTTGTGCAAACAAAAGTAAGGTCTTACAGTGACGAAGGTCTTTAAAAATAGTATCTGAATGCCTGGGGTACTGCCATCTATTAAGCTTCACTGTATCTTGCCTTTTCATCATGAAAATAACTTGTAGAAAATAACATATAGGATCATATGGTTTTGGTTACCTGACGAGCTTGTACATGTCCTCCAGGTATCCCCCCCACACAGCTGCAGTGTAGTAGTAGTCTCCTTCATCAGGAGGGATATAGGCCTTGGACTCAGGACGACGCTCATATGGAAAGTCCTCCCTTTTTGTACTCTGAGAAATGACAGAAAATAAAAGAATTATTGAAAAATGGGAAGAGACTTTCGCTCACACTTGTGCTGGCAGGAAGTGCTGTGGCAGATCAGAAAATGAGGCAACAGAATTTTAAAAAATACACACCAGATTACATTATTATGAAGAGACTGAAGGTTTCTCAACTTGAGATAATTATGATGAAGAAAAGAGTAAAACCTGGTAGTAACCACGGTGAAGGACAGCAGACAGCTGACTGAGACTCTCTGCTCCAAACCGGTTGTGGAAGACACTGTCGATGTCCATCATGAAAAGATAATCGGCTTCACCGCGGATCTAAAAACACGGCACATGTGTTGTCAGATTAAATACCTCATGTGGACACTGCTAAACAAAATGTCCAATAATAGCTGTTAGTAAAGCCTCTTCTTTGTAATAACTGTGCATCCTGGCTACAGCACCTGATGCTTTACAATCCTCACTGCTCAGTTTTTTTTACCACATGTTAAAAGCAATTGCTTTCTTGTTGTGTGTGGTCCTTGTCATGTGTTTCACTTCTCACCTGCTTCTCAATGGCGATAGTTGCCCATTTCATCCTGCCAAGTACTACGTCCTGCCAGCGCTTGGCACTGGGGACGGTGAGAACTGAAATCTTCCGACCCTCACCCAGTGCAATCTGAACAATCAAATAAAAAGAGAAAATTACAAATGGAATCTCATCACGAAACATTTGACGGCAGAAAGAAGAACAGAATTATTGAGGTCATCAGAGGGGAACGATTCAGTGGTGTCTTGCCAGTTAAATTTGATATACAGAATTCCTCAGCTGTCAGTAATCCCTGAAGTACTTAATACCTGTGGTAAAGTTTAGTCTATGTTGTTCCATAGCTGCCAGCATTCCTTCATCTAAGAGCAACCAGCTTCTGTACAAACTAGTACAGACTAGAAAGGTTATTTTGTGGCTTGTCTTTGTTCAATGGGCCAATGTTCAGCTGTGTTTTCTACACAACTTACTTTGGGAACTTCTTGTTCATTGTCTGTGAAGACATAGTAAGTGACTCTGAAGCCATAAAGAAAGTACTTTTCACCCGTCTCCAGGAAACCCTTCAGGAAACGAGTGTATCTAGTTGGATAGAAAGAAACAAGGCAGAAAGTCTGTCAATTAATATGAAACAAGAAAGTCAACATAAGAAATAATACACAACAGAAAACAACAACAAATTTTGTTAAGCGCTTTACAGTGAGTGAGATGAACCCTCGTTCCCATAGTGTCCTGTGAGAATATCCTGTGTACTTACTTTCCGACAGCAAAAACCACCACAGCAATTCTTGGGTTTATTCTCCTATAGATATTATCAATCACCACTGGATCAAAGGTTCCCTCCCAAACCAGAGGAGCGTTCCAGTTGGTCACCGAGTTCACATCAGTGCGTCTGAAAAAAACAAAAATTCCAAAATAGAGCTTATAACATTCAAACTGTATGCATACAATCATGGAAAAAAAATACTAGATCACCCTTATTTTCTTCAATTTCTTGTTCATTTTACTGCCTGGTACCACGAAAGGTATATGACCTGAAGAATACAACGAACACGACAAAAAAATGCAGCTGATTACATCATACTTTGTCCTATTTAACATGCTTAAACTTAAATGTATTCCAGGGTATATAAGAGGCCATTTCATGTCATAAGCAGCACTGCACACGCAAAGGCCGAGAGTGGTTTCCTGCTTACATTCCAACCATAGCACAACTCACAAGTTGTCAGTTCTCACATTACGCCTTGAACAAAAGAATTATGTGAAGATACAAAGGCAGCCA